GAGGAGCATCTGGACCGTCGGGCAGACAGCATCAGGCAGCAGCAGTGGGGAGGATTTTGCCCGAACAGTTACGCAACCATTCGGAGTCGCACGGTTGGATTTCGCTGCAATAAGGGAATGTACCGCTTAGAGTACATGGCTAGTTAGGTCGTTTCGAATTCCCCGGTACTCATATTTATATTCCTTGTACTGGACGTTTTTATCATCTCAAGCATTTACATTCACTCTGCTATTGAGGTCAAGGGCCCACCACCACTAGACTAGAATTTGTGCGAACCTTCCTGAGGTGATCCTGGTTACGATCACTTTCTGATTTCAACAGAAGGGATCATGGAAGGTGAAGGAAAGGGCATTGTAACTGCTGAAGAATCAGGTGAAGCATTTTAAGTGGTGACTACAAGTTGTCATCTCCTCATCAAGCTAGTGAATACATAGCTTTTTGAGCATCTGGTTTGTTAGGCAAACACCAGTTCACAGGAGGAGCACTAGAAGCAATACCACACACACAAATACATCAGTCTCTCGAGGGTCGTTTTGTCTGGTAATAAATTCGCTGCAATAATAAGATGCAGGCAAGTGACACAATCTCTATTAGTATAAGGGTACATTCTGCTGTGGACACATGTCCCAATCGATGTGTCCCAATCGAGTGTACCGCTCCGAACCGAACTAAACCAGAGACGCGAAAATTTCGAAACTAGGGTGCAATTTGGTGTAATACGATGCAGTGCGGTAGAAAACGATTGGGACACATTGATTGGGACATGTGTCCACAGCGGAATGTACCCTAACACCTACAGCAGGTCCAGCAGCATGTTGAAAAGCATGTCAGACCAGCCATCCTGCGGACCGGGGATGCAATAGTGCAGGCAATCCACAGCAGCAGACTTCCCCGTCTTCCCCTTGTGAGAGTCCGGTCTGAGAGCGGTCATCCTATCCACATCCAAGAATGCAGCTCCTATGGAGTTGGCCAGACGCTCTGCAATTCGGTTCTGATGGGAAATTTCTGACCAATGGTGAGGGAGATTGTCTTCAGATGGACGTGTTTCGATCGGACGGGGTGAAGTTCATGCAATCGGCGTGGCCAGCAGCAGAGGATCTGACGATTGTCAGGAGATTGGGGAAGCGGTTTCTCAGGTGGAGGAGAGTTGCGCTGAGCTGGGCTTCGAACGCTGTATCCTCCACATAATGGGCTCCGCGATTCAGTATAACCACATCTACACCCTGTGCTGCTATCTCATCCACCCACCAATGATTCTCCGTGGAAAAGCCAGGCAACGCCACGGGGACATCGAGGTAATCGCTACGAACGAAGAAGATGTGAGACGGACGGCCCGAAGACTCGCAGATTGGAGACGAAAAGCAAATCTGAGGAAGGTGAGGGTAAGCTGCTCTGGCTTTGAGGCATTTCGCAGAGAAGAATCCTTTAGGAACCAACTTCTCACCGATTTTTAAGCGAAGAATGAGGGAGAGAGCGAACTGGCCGTTGAGAGAATCTCCAGCTATCAGTAACTTCCTTCCATTGAGCGCTTCGCAGAATCTGGATTCGCTGAATTGAGTCCACTGGCCGCAATCACCTTGATTCGAAGTTTCGCTGCTTGGATCCCACACGTACTTCAAGCTTTCCCTGACGGTCCAATCTTCAGGATCTCTGAGGGCGGCGTTATTGGCAAAAGGGCCAGCGAGGTTTCCAGGGATCTCCGCGTGTCGAACGTCGCATGTGCTCAGGGGACTCGGCCAGTGGAGGAGACGAGGAGTCGGATCGTAGCGCCAGTGACCTGATTGGCTGACGCAGTTCCAGCGATTACGGAACGAACGCACGGACGAGTCGTTCTTGATTCTTGACCCTGGAATCCCCGTTACGACAACATCCGAATTTTTTTCTTTAAGCCGAATAACCTGAACTGGTTGATGCCATGCTGTAATCTTCTTGTCGAAACCATCATCTTGCTGAAGGAAGTTCACCAGACGCGGTTCCACTGCATTGTCCGTTTAAAGCGGTTTTCGTAATCCGCCTAACTATTAGAGATTCCGATACTGGAAAGTAAAGCCTGAGAGCGATGCAGAACGTCAGCAAGGACACAGCAGTAAGACAGCAGAAGATGGAAATGCCTACACAGAGATCGCTGCTTCTAAGCTGCATGACGCTAGAATGATGTAGGGTAGAAGAGTGCTTCCTTCCTATCAGCGACTCCTGTGTTTCCGTTCTTGTTTTGAAAAACTGACTGTCTGAGCGTGCTACTTTAACCATAACAACATCACTGACTAAATCCCTGTTTTTTGCCAAGAAATGAAAACTTGGATGCTGCCAGTTCTAGTGAGGAGGATCGATTCGGAAAAAAACCCGCTATCCAGTTCTCCCCAATCACTTCCAGCGTTCGCACGCTGTGACAGCTCAACTTGTGCGACGGAGCCGGAGGTTGCACCGTGTGCGACACCAACAGGTTCCAAAATATCAGAGCATAATGACCAGGAAAAACTTGGTTCGTCAGACGCTTGACCATTTCCAGTTCCATGCTCGAGAATGATTACTCCTAGTGTTTAGGTGCTCAACCTAAATAAACATTCCTGACCTGAGTCCAAACTTCAAATGCAGCCCCACTGTCTAAACGCCATTGGTAGAAATAGGATTTGGTTGCGATCTTCCGGGCACAATTCTCCATCCTTGTTTTGCACCTGGAACACCGCGACAAGTTCAACACAGTACCACTTTTACACCTGTGGACATCGGGCAACCATTTCTGGTACATTAATCGTGTTTTTTAAATTTCAAGAGGGAATCTTTCTGGGAGAGAGAACACAATGAAGGTTGCACGCTTTCTTTTTAGTGGATGTGGCTGCACGAAGTGGGGGTTTTAGGGGTCTCGTAGTTTAGACCGAGGTGTCTCGTGAGAAAAGTCTGATGTCGTGAAATTGGCGGGGAACAAGAAATACATTAGCCAGCTCAATGTTCGTACAGGAGCACAAGGTTGGGACGCAAGCTAAATACAGAATATGTAACAAACTGGATAACTGAAGTCGGAATTTTCGTGCGCACACATGGCCTATCCGAGATTCACTCACATGTCAATAACGAGGAAAATCGTAGAGTACTCACTTTCTGGAGCAAGTCCAGTAGCGACGGTTCTGTGGTTGGATGCAAGCCCCACTGCTTTAGCTGTGCTGAGTGCTTTCGTTGCTACCTTGCACGACAAATTCGATCCACCACTTTAATTGGGCTGGAATAGATTCAATAGCGCCGACTGACGTGTTCCTAAATTCACAGCGCGTATGGAGAGCGATTTGCAGCTTGAAACAGCGCTTCTAGGGAAGTTGTTACGTCAGAATCGCAGCCAGCACCGACACGGGAAATATTTTCATGCGCTTCGTCAGGTAACCTAGAAGCGTTGGTAATCCACATATAACTAATCCATTCTTAAATCCTCCCCGCATCTTCATTGTATCCTCATCCATCTACCAATCTCTCTCCCTTTCAGCTTCACCCGCCGAATAAGAGACTTCCTCTCTTCAAACGTCCTCCAGCTGCTACAAGAGATTAAAGACGCCTCGCCGCCAGCGCTGCTGGCGGACGCGCAAAGCCCGGAGCTCAGCTGTCAGTCCAGCCGGCTCGTGTTCTCTCTACAGTATGTTCAAGAGGTAAGTTTCTTTCAGAAGATTTTCCCTACAGGAAGTGACTACAGGCGGCTCGTCTTCTCTCTACTGTGCGTTCAAGAGTTAAGTCGGTTCCAATAGAATTCTCAACAGTACGTTCAAGCGTTGTGTTGCAAGTTGTTCTCATCATTTTCTCTACATTCATCTGATGTATGGACCCCAACGCACATACTCCATTTTTCCCCTTCACCGTCTTTCTCCCACTTGGTGATCTCTGTCCCCGCCTCTCAACCCCTCCGTGCTTCCTCCTCCCCCCCACTCCTTCCCTCTCCCATCCTTCCTACATGTACCCTGTGCATCGTCCCTTGTCCGTCCCTCTCAGACTACATGTCTTTTGATTCGAGCTGCGCGGTAAGATTCAATGCCTTGAACCCGAACTTCTGAAACCCCTTTCTGCTGCATTATCCTTCAAGCACCAGCCCTGTCTGTAAACATTGGCATTTTTTTCCATATTAAGCTCAGTGATTAAGATTTCAGCCCATTGTTTGAATTCCAGGGGAGTTGTTGTGGTGTTTGTTCATTCCCTTTTCCAGCCTTATTGCGGGTCTGGTTATACTGGAGCGCTTCCTGCCTCTCTGTGTCACGAGCTTCGCCTGTTTGGGTCGGCTCTACATCCTCTTGCTTCAGGTGGGTAGTTATTGCGTTAACCCTTCTTTTTAGAGGCACAAAGTGGTACTCGTTTCTCTGTTGTCTGATTGATCCATGCCTCTTCATCTGCAGCATTATGTTTTTGTTCTTGTGTGCATGGGTGTTATTTATGCCTTTACAGTGTCAGCTACACCACATTTCGGTTTATAATCGCCTCACTGCGACGGCAGCAAGAGGCAAGGTAGACCACATTCCGGCTACTCATACTGCTCCTCTCGCTCGCACCCCACATTGCTCCTCCTAACTACTCGTATTGCCCCTCTCGTACTGTGCAATGCTCTGCTCTGCCCGACTACTCATACTGCTCCTCTCGCATCCCACATTGCTCTGCCTCACTACTCTTCTCATTAAACTGTCTACTCCAATCTTCCACTTGGTTCTGTTCCTTGGCGATGCCTCACTTACATTGATTCCCTCTGCTGACCTCACCTTTTCCTATCGTTGCATCGTTGCAAACCGCTATTTTTTCTCCCCCGCACCCCTTCCTTCACTCTCCTTCCACCCCTTCCATCCCTTCCCCCACTCAGGTCCCCCTTCCCCCAACTCTCCCTCCCCGCCTATATCACACATGGCAAGCCTCGACCCTCCTGATCTCCTCCCGCGCCTTCCCTACTCCTAGGCCCACCATAGCCAGCGGCACTAACAGCAACAGCAGCATCAGCAGCAGCAAGAAGAAAAAGAAGGTGAAGAGTGGGGCACTAATGACTGCAGACGCGCTTTCTTCTACACAGGAGAATGCGGCAGCCACTCCCGCCACACTTGCTCCTGTAGCAGCTGTAGCAGCCTCTCCCGCTGCACCTGTTACAGGCACACCCGCTGCAGGAACACGCGTTGAGACACAGGAAGCAGAGGGAAGGCACAAGAGGCTGAAGGGCCAAATAGGAGATGGGCAAGGGAGAGAGGGGCAAGGGAGAGAGGGGCAAGGGAGAGAGGAGCAAGCAGGAGCGAGGCAAGGGATTTTTGGTCAGGGAGAGGACGGTAAAGGCAGAGATGGTGGAGAGAGAAGCAGGGGTCCGTTTGGGGCTGATGGGCCGTCCATGGAAGCACTGATGCAGGAGCTGGGGTTTGGAGAATTTATTTCTGCCCCGGTCAGCAGTGTCGGGGGAAAGGAAGGGCAGATGGGCAGGGGAGGAGGGAGGGGAAGGGGACGTGGGAGAGGGAAGGACAGGGGAGTGGTGATGGTGATGGGGATGGTGATTGGGGATAGGGCGGCTGAAGGGTTAGAGGGGGCAGTGGAGACACAGGGGGTGTTTGGCAGTGGGGAGGCATGGGGAGGGGAGGGGGTGGCTGGTTGGGGCGATTGGGAGGGGTTTGGGGGAGATGATGGGGATGGGGGGCGAGAGGAAGGGGTGGGACGGAGGGAGGATGGCAGGAGGGAAGATGGGGAGGAGGGGGAGACGGGTGGTGAGGGGGATAGAGAGGAGAGCGAGGAGGTTGAAGGGGGAAACGATGAGATGGAGGAGGGAGAGAGGGGGGTGGAGGCGGATGGTGAGGGGTGGGGAGTTTATAGGGAAGAGGGAGAAGAAGGGGAGGAATTGGAGGAGAAGAGGGAAGAGGGAGAAGAAGGGGAGGAAGTGGAGGAGAAAAGGGAAGAGGGAGAAGAAGGGGAGGAAATGGAGGAGGGGGAAGAGGGAGAAGAAAAAGAGAGGGAAGAAGGAGAAGAAGGGGAGGAGCGGGAAGAGGATTCAAAGGAGAGGAAGGCCCGGGAAGAATCAGGGCCGTTCAACACTGGGACTAGAGAGAAAAAAGAGAGGAAACTGGCAGGCATCGGTGCTGCTGCAAGGATGGTGGGAGTTGATGATCAGGCTGTGAACAGGCCGAGTGTTGGGGGGAGTGGAGCACCGAGTAACGATGAAGGGTTGATGCATGGAGGGGTGGTGTTGAAATCACGGCCTCAAGTTGCAGCTGCAGGGAAGTTACTTCTTGAGAAGAACGCATCGGTGAATGCAGGTGGTAAGAAAAGCAATGTTGGAAAGGTGAAGCAGCAGAAAGCAGCTATAGGAGCTGGTTTGAATGCTAGGGGTGCGGCGTTAGACCAGAAGGGGCGCGACTCTCAAGGGGGATCGTACAAAAAGGTGAAGAAAAGAGCAGATAAGAAGGCATCAGTTCTGAACGACCTGTTATCACTGTAATGTTGCAATAAGATTCCTAATATTGCTTTACTGGTCGATCATGAGGATGCGTATGTCAATTCCGTGATCTTGTTTATTAGGTTTTTGTTGAGCGAAATGTCCAGTTCCGTATCCTCTAACGAACTTTCTTTAACGAGGAATCATACCACCTCCCTAGAGAAAGCTTTTTGGGAAACGTAACTCGTTTCTCCCTTGCAGCAGAACCCACGTCGTTCGTGTCGCGAAAATATAATTCTTTTGCGCTCGCTACGCTGGTCCAGTGACAGAACTCACACAATCTTGAAGGCCACAGAGCTAGTCTAAGGTCCGTTGGAGTGCGTCGCGAGTGTCTTTCTTTTAGTTGCATTGTAGTCCCGTGAGCCGTCACTAACTCGCAGTGTCGTTCTGACCGTCACCAAATCACACTGTCGCTCCAGAAGGCCGTTAGCTGCTGGATCCCGGCTCGGAAATTCACAAGCCGGCTAGTTGGCAAGAATGTCGGAATGGAAGCTTCGCGTGGTGTCGCTGCTGCCGGCCGCGACGGACTCCGTGACGGCCTTGGGATTGACGAGCGCGCTGGTTGCGCGCACGCACGAGGTGAATGTGACTGTGGTGGATGTGACTGATGGGACGGTGGTCAATGTGACTCTGGTGAATGCGACCGTGTTCAATATGACTCTGGTGAATGCGACTGTGGTCAATGTGACTCTGGTGATGTGTTAGGCGTGACCGATACGGAAATGTAGTCTCCATTTGCCTATGACCAGTCCTCCTCCCACATCTACACTTCCCCCTCCTCACTTCTTCTCGTCTCTCCACCTCCCCTCTTCCCCTCTCTGCCATTCTCCCTCATTCTCCTACTACTCTCCCTTCAACCTCTCCTCTTTCCGCTTCACCCCCTCTCTTCTCCCCTTCATCCCCTCTCTCCCTCTCCCCTTTCCAGTGCGACGCACCAGGTACGGACTCCATCCCTGTCTGCACCGAGCCTAAGCTAGGCCCGGCAGGCGCAGGGTCGGCCGAGCCTGCAATGTCCCAAGCCGAGGTGCACATGGCAATATCAACGCTCCGAGCCTCTGCAGCCTGGCAACTCGCCTTCCTGCCGCCTCTCCCACAACCGCCTGTTGCCTCTCCTGCTACTGCTGCTGCTGGCGTTGAAGCTGCTACTGCTACTGCTTCTGCTGCTGCTGGTGGTTATTCTGCTGCTGCTGCGGGTTCTGCTGCTGCTTCCTTGTCTCCTCCTCGTGGGTCTGACCCCTCGTTCGACCTGCTGCTGGAGTGGTTTCTCTCGCCCTACCGTGTGGATGTCACCATGCTGAAACGCCTCCGACCAGACGTCATACTCACGCAGGTGAGATGTAGCTTTAACATAGGGGTGCAATGGAACTGCTGGTGCTGCTGCTGCCACTGCTGCTGCTGCTACGGCTGCTGCTACTGCTGCTCCCTTGTCTCCTGGAGCCCCAAGCCCTCGTTTGATCTGCTGCTGGAGTGGTTTCTCTCGCCCTACCGTGTGGATGTCACCATGCTGAAACGCCTCCGACCAGACGTAATCCTCACGCAGGTGAGATGTAACTGTAACGCAGGTGAGAGATGTAACTGTAGCGCGCATAAGAGTTTGTAACACCCGTCCGATCCTGTAGGGCATTCATCATACCATCGAATGCGTCTTCTTGATTCCACTCATCTCGGTGCACCCCATTGCACCTCATTCATTACCTCAATCTTGCCGTTTCGACTTTCCCAAAAAAAAAAAAAAAACGATAATATAAATCACATTTTTTATTCCTTTGTCTGTTTCACCCTGCAATCCTATAACAAAGAACGAGCGTTCTCACGTGCTAGGCCCACAACAACCTCCCATGCTTATCTCCATCCCCAGCCCTCTACACCTGCTTCTGTACACTGCCCTGCCCCTCACCGTTTTACCCAATCAGATGCAAGAAGAGCCCGGGGTGCTTTCTTTCGAAGATGTTCAGAACGTGCTGTCTCACGTGCTCGGCTCACAAGTCAAGATCGTTCATCTCGACCCTCCATCCCTCGTTGAGGCAATCAACGATGTCCGTCGGATCGGCGCCGCTCTCGGCCAATCGCAGCGCGCCGAATCCACGACCAAGGACCTCATGCAGCGAATCCAGACCGTTCGTGGGATGTGCGCGGGCAGACCGAGAAAAAAAGTTGTCTGCATCCAATGGCTGGATCCGATCTTCCTGGCAGGGGCATGGGTCCCAGATTTGATCCGATTGGCCGGCGGCACGGGGTCGGAAAGTTCCAGGATGGTTCCTGAGGAGGAGCTCCAGGATTTAGTCAGAGCCGCCGATGCGGTGATCTTTGCGGTGTGCGGCTGTGATTTGCCAGCGTCCATTGCTGCAGTGAAACGAGAGGCTGTGCAGAAATGGAAAATGTTCCAAGGTGTGAGCAGTACTGGGGGGACAGAACAGTTCATACAATCATCAGCAGCAGCGGCACAATCAGCACTGCCACCATCATTATCAGCAGCAGCAGGAGGAGGTTCGGTAGGTGCAAGGGCAGCACACAGCCCATCGCCGAGCCTGCCCACCATGGCTGTGGTCGAGGCGGCGAGGCTGTTCTCCAGGCCCGGGCCGAGCCTGGTGGAGTCCCTGGAGGTGCTGGCAGAGATCCTCCACCCTGAGACGCAGAGGTTCGGGCACCGCCATACCTGCTGGGCTGAGCTGGCTTATCCTCCTGCTTTGTAGCCCACAACGCTTAGTCGCTGGGGTGTATTGAGCAGCGGAACATGTGTTGCCTTATGACAGTTTATTGCTAACAGAGATTCTCTGCCCCGAGACCCAGAGGTTCGGGCACCGCCACATCTGCTGGGCCGAGCTCCCCTATCCCGCTTCCCTGTAACCTAAGGTAGTCCTACCAATGTTGCTGGTAATGCAGGCTGTGCGCCCGCTTGCAGTCAGGACAGGACAGCCTAGCGCTGGTATGGAAATCCACCACTTCTACCCTGAGATGAGACATACCGTACGACTTGAGGCACCGCGATGCAGGGAGATGTGCTGGTTTATCCTGCTGGATGGTTACGTTATAGGCGTTATGGCTGGTAGGTTTTTGGGGAACGAATGACCCTGAGTTGCTGTAGGAGTGAGGTGAGGACAGTTGCTGCTGGAGAGTTACATGTCTGGGGTATTTTCAGGGGATGGGCATGACATGTGCTGCCTTGTGACATTGTAATGCAATCATGCAGGGGCCATGATACCATAAGGTGATGATAGGGTACTTTTGTTTTGTGGACCAACACAACACGGACTACCAGTAGGTAAGAATCCTGACCAGATAGATACTAAGAAGCTTGGCTTGAGGAAAGCTGCCCGGAAAAACCGCGCGTCAGCCAAAGCTGACCGGACCAGGACCTATTCCCCTCTCTCTTGCTCCTTTTCTTCTCACTCTTGCTCCTCTTCCCTCGGAACCCCACCATACTGGGGGTTCGACTATTGCTCGCACCATCCCCAGAGCTTGATATCCCCAGCTTTGATTGTTCCAGATTTGGTAACTCCTCCAACTCCCCTTCTGCTGCATCCCCTATGCCTGCCACTCCTGCCACACCTGCCATACCAGTCGCACCTGACTCACAACCCAGACCCCCCGAACCCTCCCCTTCCCCACCACTTCTCCCGCCCGTTCCTTGCCCTGAAGCTGTTTGCGCAAGCTCAGTCAACGACTGAACACGCAGTAAATCCGCATCAAGGGACCAGGACCAATCAGGGAGAGCCCGATGCTGCAGGAAATGTGCGATGACAGCGAGGATGCGCGGGTCTCGGAAGTATGCGCCATGGTTGAGGTCAAAGCGACCAGTCAGCTCGCCAATATGCTCCTCGATCATCACACACAGCTGCTTGATCTGCATAAACAACGGGGAGGCAATGGGGCATGAGAGATCAATGCGAGGATGCGCGGGTCTCGGAAGTAGGCCCCGTGGTTGAGGTCAAAGCGGCCGGTGAGCTCGCCTATATGCTCCTCTTTCATCACTCACAGCTGCTTGATCTGCGTGGGGAGAAAAGGCAAGAAGCGCCCCACTACTCATACTTGAAACGAAGTAATTCATAACCACGTGATAAAAGTGCTGTTTTGAGACGTCTCAAAACAACACTTTTATCACGTGGCAAGATGCGCCCCACGACTCATACTTGAAAAAGAAGTCATTGTTATCATTCATAACAGCCGCGCAAAATCTCTGCCGGAAAGCCGAGGGTTCTTCAAATTCCTCTCAAGTTGCTGCTACCATCCATACCTGCCGCAAACCCCCACGAGACAGAACTCAAGTCAAATCATACTTGAAAAGCAGGTAATGCTACCATCCATACCTGCCGCACGAACTCTCATCTCCTCTTGAAGCGCCTTGTATATTTCTAGGCAACTCAGAACCTGCCACCATCCGTACCAGCCACCATCCGTACCTGCCACCATCCATACCTGCCACCATCCGTACCTGCCACCATCCGTACCTGCCACCATCCGTACCTGCCACCATCCGTACCTGCCACCATCCATACCTGCCACCATCCATACCTGCCACCATCCATACCTGCCACCATCCGTACCTGCCACCATCTGTACCTGCCACCATCCGTACCTGCCACCATCCTTACCTGCCGCACAAACTCCCTGCGTGCCATACCTGCCGCACAAACTCCCTGCGTGCCTTACCTGCCGCACAAACTCCCTGCGTACCGTACCTGCCGCACAAACTCCCTGCGTGCCGTACCTGCCGCACAAACTCCCTGCGTGCCATACCTGCCGCACGAACTCCCTGCGTGCCGTACCTGCCGCACGAACTCCCTGCGTGCCGTACCTGCCGCACGAACTCCCTGCGTGCCATACCTGCTGCACGAACTCCCTGCGTGCCGTACCTGCCGCACCAACTCCCTGCGTGCCGTGCCTGCCGCACGAACTCCCTGCGTGCCGTACCTGCCGCACCAACTCCCTGCGTGCCGTGCCTGCCGCACGAACTCCCTGCGTGCCGTACCTGCCGCACGAACTCTCTGTCGGTCAGCCGCGGGTTCTTCTTCATTCTCCTCATCTCCGATCGTAGCAGCTGATACGTCCCTGACGCCGCTGCTGCCTCTTCAAGCTTGCTGTCCTCCCACAGAAACTCGTACAGCAACTGATGCTCCTGCTCTCCACTCCCCTCCATCTGCTGCCGCTGCTGCTGCTGCTGCTGTTGCTCTCCACTCCCTTCCATCTGCTGCTGCTCCTGCTGCTGCTGCTGCTCCTCTCTCTTCTCTCTCGCCTTCTCATCGTTCTCATTACCGCCGCAGCCCTCCTTGTCCTCCTGCTCCTCCAGGAGAAAATCCACCTCCGCCTCGTCCGCTTCAACCGCAGATGAAACTGCAAGCGACGAAGCACCTATGTCACCCGCCGAAGCACCCGCCGAAGTACCCACCGAACCGCCCACCGAACCAACGATCCCCCCCACAGAATCATCACATACAGGCGCCTCTATGCAGCCTCCCACTCTTTTCCACTTTGCACCCGCCGAACCACCCGTCAAACCACCCGCCGAAGCACCCACCGAACCACCGTCGAACCCACCCACTGCCCCCACCGCCCCCACAGAATCATCACAAACAGGCGCCTCTATGCAGCCTCCCACTCCCTTCCACTTTGCCGCCCCAACACCCCTTACCGTCCTTATGCCCCTTGCACCCCCCACCTCAACCCCCTTCCCTTCTCCACCTCCCACCATCTCACCCACACCACCATCCCCCCTCTCGCTCTCATGCCCTAAGGCTCCTCGTCCATCCCCTATAGTAGCCTCCTCAGTAGCATCCTTAGCCTGGCGCCCACTATTCTCACCCAAATCGTTACCATCCTCGCCGTCCTCAACCCATTTGATCCAACCCCAAAGGTTCTTCCTACTCCCTTCCCTGCTCTCGCTCCTCCTACTGCCATCGCCGCTCTCGCTCCTCCTCCTGCTGCTGCTGTCAACAGGTTCTCTTGTATTCTGCCCCCCACTGTTGCTGCTGTTGTCAACAAGTTCCCTTGGGTTCTGGCCCCTATTGTTGCTACTGCTCCTGCTGCCACTTGCCTCCCCATTTCTTTCAAAAAACCTGACCCATTCCCAAGGATTCCCCCTACTGTCCCCCCTGTTATCGCTCCTGCTCCCGCTCTCGCTCCCACTGCTGCTGCTGCTGCTGCTGCTGTTACTCCTAGGGACTCCTTTCACGTTTGCCATTACACTTTTTGCCCTCGGTCTGACCGAGAAATTTCTCTCCACAGCGTGATTTCCCAAGGATTTATTTCGGAGCAGTTGACTCTCCGTTAATTTTTCCGACCGGGCTGCCCGGGAAAGCCATGTGCGGGCAAAAGAGCGGGCCCTATCATTTCCTTGCAGTTTCACCCGGGCAGTGTGTGAAGGAGCAATAGGCAAAGCTGTACCAGCAGCAGTAGCATCATCATCATCATCAGCAGCAGCAGCAGCATCACCTGCAGAAGGAGTGTCAGATGGGACGAAAAGAGAAGATCCGAACGAATCTACTCGTGATTCGTTTCCTGCAATCTGTCTCCTCCTCCTCAGGGTCTTCTGCATTACAAGAAGGCGGTGCTGTAACGGGGTTACCACCATGTGCTGGTGGTGTAACGGGGTTACCACCATGTGCTGGTGCTGTAACGGGGTTACCACCATGTGCTGATGCGGTGACGGGAAGGAAGGCACGTGATGCTCTAGGAGTGTTACAGGCAGGTGATTATTTCGAGGGGTGGGACTGGGGTGATAGGGATGTTTGGGTCGCAAAGCAGAGGTGTGATATGCGATGGTGTGTGGTGTTGAGGGAAACTTTCTAGGGAGGTGTGTGGGAGGCTTTGATGCTGCTTCTGCCTCTGCTCCTCCTGCTTCTGCTGCTGCTGTTGCTGCTGCTGCTCCTGCTGCTTCTGCCTCTGCTTCTGCTCCTCCTGCTGCTGCTGTTGCTGTTGCTGCTACTTCTGCTCCTGCTCCTGCTCCTGCTCCTGCTCCTGCTCCTTCTGCTCTTGCTCCTGCTCCTGCTCCTGCTCCTGTTGTTGCTCCTGCGCCTGCTCCTGCTCCTGTTTTTGCTCCTGCTCCTGCTCCTGCTGTTTTTCCTGCTCCTGCTCCTGCTCCTTCTGCTCTTGCTCCTGCTCCTGCTCCTGCTCCTGTTGTTGCTCCTGCTCCTGCTCCTGCTCCTGTTTTTGCTCCTGCTCCTGCTCCTGCTGTTTCTCCTGCTCCTGCTGCTCCTGCCGCTGCTTCTATTTCCATCCCATCACCTTCCCCCTCTCTCCCCTCCCTCCCCTCCTGCCTCCCCTTCTCTCTCTCCCCATTCCTCCCCACTTCCCTTCCCCGTGACAATAACAATTGTTCCTCAAGCCAACCCGCCTCACCCCCCTCCCCACCCAGACCCAGCCCCTCCATGTACTCACCCCCTTCACTGTCACCCCCACCCGCATCTACAGTATCGTCGTGGTAACCGGGTAACAGCTTCCCCTGCAAAGACTGTGTCTTGGCCTCAGCCAGAAGCTTCTGAACGTTCCAGTGCTCCACGCGGTGTGACCACAGGTGGAGATCTAACACTTCATCTACATACACACTTGCGAAGCTTAGCTCGTTGGGGGAAAGACCGAATGCGATTGTTACTATCACGCTCCGTACTGTCTCGACTAACGCCGGTGCCAGTATGTGGGAAATGAGGGAGAGGAGGGCGAAGGGCACGAGGAAAATGATGTTCCAGAGAAGCACTCTAATGAGATTGATGAAGTATAGGAACCAGAGGAGGAAGGGGCGTGCTTGGGTGTTGTGAGGACGAGAGTGAGAGGAGGAGGAAAGGAACGCGGAAGACGAGGAAGAGGAGGGAGAGGAGGAGGAGGCGGAGGTGGGGAGGGGAGGAAGGGGGAACCAGAAGGAGAGTTTGATTAACTCCCTCAGTTGGGGAAAGATGTAGGCGCGCGCAATTGGCTCGACGGAAAGTGCCAGGCTGGCTTCATCCAGCTTGCCAGCGTGGATCACGAGTGCTGACATGGCAGGCGACCAGTGGTAACCGGGCGCGTGGTAGATGTTGCCGTTGTAGTAGGCCGGTTGGTGCCACGACTGCAGGGAGGAAGGCAGAGAGGAGAGGGAGGCCGGTAACAGAACTGAACAGATGAACCAGTGGTGTGTGTGTGTGTGTGTGTGTGTGTGTGTGTGTGTGTGTGTGTGTGTGTGTGTGTGTGTGTGTGTGTGTGTGTGTGTTTTTTTTTCTTTTCTTTTCTTTCTTTCTTTCTCTCTTTTTTTTGTTTTTGTTTTTTTTTCTGGGGGGGAAACTGACTAGCACACTAGATAAGAATTTAGGCTCGTCACATACCTCGAAAGATAAATAAGCTTGCACGGCGATACTGACGGCCCCAAACAGCCCCACAATCGCCACCACCACCAGAGGCCACAGCATCAGCCGGTTCACCTCCAAATGCGCCGCCTCCATCACCACCACTTCCCAGAGCACCACATACCCCAGCACCACTCCAAACACCACTGCACCAGACACCACCGTCGCCACCACCAGCCGGAACACCCCTGCGCGGTCCCATTTCTTCACATAGAACGGCGTTCCCAGGAACACGAGAGAGCCCAGGGCGTTGGAGAGGGGGGAGGTGGCGAGGCGGTGGGAGAGGAAGAGGCGCTGCCGGGTGGCTGGGAGGCCGAGGAGCGAGTCGATCCAGCGGTAGCGCCCCCAGGGATAGCGCTCCTGGCTCTTCTGCTTGTGCGTGCTGGGGTGGAGACTGGTTGGGGAGGGGATGGGAGGGGGGAGAGGAAGAGGTGTTAACTGAATGACTGCTTAAGGGGAGGCCGAGGAGCGAGTCGATCCAGCGGTAGCGCCCCCAGGGGTAGCGCTCCTGGCTCTTCTGCTTGTGCGTGCTGGGGTGGAGACTGGTTGGGGAGGGGATGGGAGGGGGGAGAGGAAGAGGTGTTAACTGAATGACTGCTTAAGGGGAGGCCGAGGAGCGAGTCGATCCAGCGGTAGCGCCCCCAGGGGTAGCGCTCCTGGCTCTTCTGCTTGTGCTTGCTGGGGTGGAGACTGGTTGGGGAGGGGATGGGAGGGGGGAGAGGAAGAGGTGTTAACTGAATGACTGCTTAAGGGGAGGCCGAGGTGGGAGTCAAGCCAGCGGTAGCGCCCCCAGGGGTAGCGCTCCTGGTGCTTGTGCTTGTGCGTGCTGGGGTGGAGACTGGTTGGGAGGGGATGGGAGGGGGGAGAGGAAGAGGTGTTAACTGAATGACTGCTTAAGGGGAGGCCGAGGTGGGAGTCAAGCCAGCGGTAGCGCCCCCAGGGGTAGCACTCCTGGCTCTTGTGCTTGTGCGTGCTGGGGTGTAGGCTGGTTGGGACGGGGTGGGGAGAGGAAGGGGTGTTGATTGAATCTTCAAGGGGAGGAAAGGAGGGAGTCAAGCCAGCAGCAGCGCCCCCAGGGGTGGCCTTCCTGGTGTTTTAGCTTGTGCGTGCTGGGGTGTAGGCCTCTTCGGAGAGAGTGGGATATGGATGGAGAGGGGTATGGATGGAGCAATAGGGGAGAATATTTAGATACTACATTAAAAAAAAAAAAAAAAAAAAAAATCATAGTGAGCTCAATTCAAGTACAGAAAATATATGAAACAAGAAAACCATCGTAGAAATCATGTGTCGGCTCAAGGGCAGCACCTTTGAAACACGATGGGCGTGGGCAACCACCGCCGCCACCCAGACCAGCGAGATTTGACTTGATTCGGACTCCTCCACTTGCGAATCAAATCGTATCCGGGCCTGTGTGCCGCCCAAAACTCTTGCTCCACCAATGGGTGCAGGTCAGCTGGTGACTGGTTGCTTAATCGTCGCATGTACTGGCGAGGGAGAGATGGTGGTCATGGTCGAGAGAGGAAGGAGAGATGGGGGACAGTGGGGGACAGGGAGGGAAACAGGTAAACAGGTACAAATATTTATTGGATTTTTGAGAGTAAAAAAAAAAAAAAGGTGCGGAAAAAGTTATGGACAAGTGTATCATTGTGAAAATGTCCAAAGGAGCACTGACCACCTCTGCCGCTTTGAGCAGCACGTTTCCCCCATGGGAGTGAGCGATGATGTGTATCCTCGCTGCAGGGTCACTGTGGGCAATATCCGTTATAAGCACAGAGAGCTGAGACCCGGGGGGGAGATGGGGGAGGAGTGAGGGGAGGGGGGGGGGGGAGGGGGAAAGGGGAAGGAAGGGGAACGGGTAAGAGTTGAAAGGAGGGGAGGGGGGAAGAGAGAGAGAGGGTAGGAAAGTTGTCCTTGTAACAGGGTAACCCTTTTACCCACAATCACACTACTAGACTAGACCCAACCCCTCCCGCACCTTCTCGGCAGCTTCCACCCTCCCCTTGTGCGTGTTCGTGCCGTCCCAGTGGAAAGGGTACGGCGCAGCGCCTTGCCGGCCGCGAGCAGCTTTGCCGGCCGCGAAGCTGCCGATCGGAAACTCCCGCCACACGCTGTCTGCTCTTAACGGCCCTCGCGCCAGAAGAGCGCCAATTTTGGAGCAAAAGTTTTGCTCGCCGGGATCCGCGGGTTGATACCACGTGCGCGTTCCGTCGGACGGTGGCGCGTCGAAGGTTCCGTGCACCACGATCACGTAGTGCGTCTCGCGCGTCGCGTCGAAATCCAATTGTCGCACGCGGAAGCCCGTTTCCAAATCGGCGGCTGACGTTTCGCGTCCGAAAGATGATTCCGATTCGTAATCGACAAATCCCGGGAGAGGGAGCTCTTGCCCCGGAACCTCGGGAAGAGGATTCGCCACGTCATCTGGAGGCTGGGCCACGTCATGCTCAATGATGTACGGGTCTTCGGGCGCCTGGAAGCTTACGTGCTTAGCTGGACGACGCGAAGCGCCACTAATTTCGACCTCGAGTTGAGAAGACGAATTTGCACCCTGTGAGCCCTGCATGATATTTTCGGGCCGCTTGCGAAAGCAACTGAGTAGTAATAACCTGCCGGTCTCCGTCTCCGTCAACGTCACCGTCACCGTCCGTCACGGTCACCGTCAGCGTCACTGTGCTAAACCTTACTGTTCATCACGAGTACTGTGCTCTCCTCAGGCACTTGAGCAGAAAGCTAACTCCCAAAATCGTCACCGTACAAAAAACCGTTGAAACGTACTGCGACATGCACAAATTATAAAGAACCAGATAGAACCAAAAATAACCGTGATGTCAAACGAACATGACCACCATCGAGAACTCCTGCGGGTGTACAAGACCGACTGTGGCGGAGGTTCCGTAGGTGCCGTCAGTGTTCGGACCGCCCCGCCCCTCCCCTCTCTCCTCCACGTCGTGATTCGCTCCGTATATTTCGGTAAGCCTACCGAACCGCTCTCAATCGCGATGCATCCCTGGAAACATCAATCCATCTCAATTGAACACCACAGAGACAGCTACATTTCTTTTCCCATTTATATATACACATATATACATTTCAGACCATCTTGTATCCTTTCTATTAGATAGTGCTTTCTTTTTTTTTGGGTTGCGAAGCAATCCTTTACAATCGATTTTGCCCAATTTTGTTTTCACATTTATATTTATTAAAACATGAAAATAAAAATTCGTAAACTACAGTAATACACTTCCCATACTGTGCATGTTGAACAGTTTTAGATATTGTTCACTGTCTTTTGGGGAATGATTTTCCTTCATTGTAATAGTTTGTTGTCCTGTTTGCAGTATATTTTTACCGAGCTGTTCGGTGCAATTATAATTACTTACTTATATGAATGTAATGAAACAAGTGGAATAGATGTTTATGCATGGAGAATGCTTTAGTATGCATAACGTATAATGTGGAATATAAAAACGCACACGTGCATGATGGTAAATGGATAAAAATGTGTGATAGTGCGATAGGGCAGACGGCCTCTCTCTCTTTGACCTCACCTCTGGCGCTTCCCCTGCCCCTTCTGCTGATGCTGACGCCACCGTTCGCTCCCAGTGGCCCACACGCGACGCTGCTGCACGTCTTGCTGTGCGTCGCCACCTCCCTACCTCCGAGCGTGCGCACTTTAGTCAGTACAAGAGTGCTCAGACCTTGTACGACGCTGTAGTTGCGCGCTATTCCTCCCCTGCCACTGCTGCACTGAGCCGTCTCATGCTACCGTACCTCTTTCCTGACCTTGCTGCCTTTCCCACAGTCGCTGACCTCATTACGCACCTCCGCACTAGTGACACTCGCTACCGCGCTGCACTTCCTCCTGACTTCTGCGCCAAGAACCCCCCCCCCCCCATGTACATCACTCTTTACTACATAGTCACTCACCTCCCTGACTCCCTTCGTGTAGTCAGGGACCACTTCCTCTCTATCTGTCCCACCACTCTCACTGTTGACCTCCCGAGAAGTCCCTCCTAGCGGCCGAGAAGAGCATAGTGGCTGTAGGGGCCTCTCGTGGTGACCCGCGCACCCCCATCTTTGAGGGGTGTTCCCCCTCCCCCCTTCTGCCCTCTGTTGCCTCTGCTGCTGCTGCCGACCTCCTTGGTCTTGAGTCGGTCGGTGCGGCGTCTGCCCCTAGCGGGAGACGCTGCCCTGGCAAGGGCAAGGGGGGCAAGGGCGCTGGAGGAGTGAGCGGGGGCGGTGGTGGTGGAGGTGGCGGCAGTGGGGTGAGTGGGGGTGGCAGTGGGAGTGGCGGTGGGGGTGGAGGGGTCAGTGGCGGCAGTGGAGGCGGAGGGTGGCGGCGACGGTGGCGGTGGGAGCGGAGGTGGCGGAGGTGGCGGCGGCGGAGGAGGAGGCGGAGGCAGCGGCAGCAGCGGAGGCGGCGGAGGCGGCGGGGGTGGCGGTGGTACTGGTCGCGGGTCTTCGCAGAGGAGTGGCTCCGGTGGTGGCTCGCGCCAGCAGCAGCAGCGCGGTCGTGAGTCCCTGTCCCCTCAGCAGCTCCGTGAGTGGTACACTGCGCGCCAGCGGGGTGGGGGTTTTGGTCCGTGCTCCTACGTTCTACGCACCGGCGACCGTGCGGGTGAGCAGTGTGGGGGAGCCCACCCCACCCAGCGCTGCTTTGGCCGCCTGACGGACGCGTGGCGTCACCAGTTCCCGGAGGCCTCACAGATCCCTCGCTTGGGCGAGCTGTCTAGGGCGGGTGTTGCCATCTATGATCTTGACTTTGATGCTATTCTCTCTGCCATGTATGCTCTGTCTATTAGTGATGAGGGTGACTGTTACCAGTGTTTCCCGCCCGATCCGGGCATTGAGACTGCTGCTCTAGGTACTGGTGAGGAGCCTGCCCTAGGTGCTTGCGACGCTGCTGCTCTAGGTGCTAGTGTGTCTGCGTCCTCAGGTACTGGTGAGTCTGCGCTCTCAAGTACTACGTCGGCTTCGGCCTCCGTCACCTTCACCCTTGACTCTGGGGCGTCTCGCTCCTTCTTTCGGGACCGCACCACACTCACGCCGCTGAGTCGCACGGTTGCAGTGTCTCTAGCTGACCCCTCTGGGGGTCCTGTCCTGTCTCGCTTCTCCACCGTCCTCCCGTGTCTGGCGGCTCCCTCTGGCACCATGTCTGGTCTCTACCTCCCCTCGTTCTCTACGAACCTGGTGAGTGGTGCTGACCTCCAGGATGCGGGTGTCCACCAGTTCACTCCTGCGCATCAGAGGGTGACGCACTGTACATAGGCTAGCACGGGCCGACACCTGGCTACGTTTACACGTCAGCCGGGGTCGAGCCTGTACACACTGACCACTGCGTCTCCTCCCGTTGCTGAGTCTGGTAGGGTCGTTACGTCGGGCCAGGTGTTTGCTGCAGCGTCCAGGTCTGGTCCTGAGTCTGCCCCCTGTTCGTGTCGTCTCCTGTCTCACGAGACACTCCTCTGGCACCACCGTCTTGGTCACCCCTTTCTGCTTCGGCTCAGAGGCATGGCCTCCCGTCTTCTAGTGTCTGGTCTCCCCCGGTCCCTCCCTCCCCTTCCTCAGGGCCCTGGCCCTACCTGTGTCCCCTGTGTCGAGGGGCGCCAGCGTGCTGCCCCTCACTCCTCCCAGTTTCCTCCGACAGAGGCCCCGTTGCAGACGCTTCACATGGACGTGTGGGGCCCAGCCCACGTCCGTAGGCAGGGTCACGAGCGCTACTTCCTGCTCGTTGTTGATGACTACTCGCGTTACACCGCAGTCTTCCCCTTGCGCAGCAAGGGTGATGTCACTGAGGTGCTGATCAGCTGGATCCGCGCAACTCGTCTCTAGCTCAGGCTGAGCTTTGGCTCGAACTTTCTTGTTCTGCGTCTGCACTCGGACAGAGGCGGAGAGTTCTCCTCTGGCCTTCTGCGAGCCTACTGTCGAGCACGAGGCATCCGTCAGACCTTCACGCTTCCGGAATCGCCGCAGCAAAATGGGATTGCTGAGCGCCGCATTGGCATGGTCATGGACGTCGCTCGTACGTCTATGATGCATGCGGCTGCCCCCCATTTTCTGTGGCCGTTTGCGGTCAGGTACGCGGCGCATCAGATCAACCTTCACCCCAGGGTCTCAAGGCCGAAGACCTCCCCAGCCTTGCTGTGGACCGGGAAGGTTGGCGATGGGGTCTGGGGATCTCGGGCGTTTGTCCGCGACTTGTCTGCGGAGAAGCTGTCCCCTCGTGCTGCTCCTTGCGTCTTCCTGGGGTTCCCCCCTGACGTGCCTGGGTGGCAGTTCTACCACCCCACCTCTCGCTGTGTTCTGTCCTCTCAGGACGTCACGTTCGACGAGTCGGTACCCTACTACCGCCTCTTCCCCTACCGCATTCCGTCCCTCCCCCCGCCCCCGCTCTTCTTGGTACCAGGTCCCCCCCCGGTAGACCCCCTCCCCCCTCAGGGTCCTGCCCCTTCAGGTGTGTCCCACGTAGACGCAATTGAGCCTGTCGAGGTCACTGGTTACTCTGGTGCTGTTGAGGGTGCTGAGCCTGGGGGGTGCTAAGACTGGGGGTGCGGAGCCTAGGGCTGCTGAGCCTGGGGGTGCTAAGCCTGGGGGTGCTACGCCTGGGGGTGCTGAGCCTGGGGGTGCGGGGCCTGGGGGTGCTACGTCTAGGGGTGCTTTGCCTGGGGGTGCTGGGCCTGGGGGTGCTGAGCGTGGGGGTGCTCCGCCTGGAGGTTCTCCGGGTGCTTCGTCTCGCCAGGAGCCACTCTCTCCACAGGAGCTGCGCGAGTGGTTTGCACGGCGCTGGAGCCGTGCTGCTGGTGCTGGAGGTTCTTCGGCTGCTGAGGGTGCTGCTGTCGCGGGTCCCAGAGGTGCTCGTACTGGGAGTATTGGAGGTGCTGGGCCTGCAGATTCGACTGGAGCTGGTGCTGCTGAGGGTGTTGGCGCTGAGACTACCTCTGGCGGTCCTGCTGGGGGTGCTCCAGGTGCTGACGGAGGTTCTGGAGCTGCTGGAGGTGCTGCTGGATCGGGTGCTCCTGCTGGTGCTACTGGTGCTGTCCCTGCTGTTTCTGGCGTCGCCACGCGGCCTCGACCGTACTTTGTTCCACTCCTGCAGCAGGTTCTTGGTCTTCCACCCTCTACTGGTCCTCCTCCTCCCTTCGAGGGTCAACAGCCTGTCCCGTCACAGTTACATCTACAGCCTACCTCCCCTTTGCCTGCTCCTTCTCCCTATGCTGGTCCTACTGGAGGTCTTACTGAGCGTCGTGAGCCTGCGTCTCGCCCTACGTCGCCTGTCTGTCCTGCTCACGCTAGTGGTCGTGGTTCGCGTCCGTGTCCTCCTCCTGTCCCTGGCACACACACGATGTCTCTGCATCCGTCTACTGCTCCTCTGCGTGCACCTCTGCTTTCTCCTCCTGAGTCCTCTCTTCCTGCTCTTGCCGACCCGGAGTCGGACTCTCTTTGTGCTGCCAGTCCTACTGTCACGCGTCTCCTTGCTACTGTCGTCACTGACCCTTCTTTCGAGTCCGCTGCTGCGTATGCCCTAGTTACTGAGCTCGTCGACTTTGCTGCTCGCTGTCGCCTAGC